GACCTCCACCTCTCACCAGTTAGGAATCAGAGCGGGGTGGGGAGAAGACCCAGAAGTCTTCTGTCCAAACTGCTCCCCTCAGGAAGAAGAGTCAAGGGCATCTCAGACTTGGTCTCATGGTTGAGACCCCAGCTGGCCCCAAGACTGCTCAGGCTCCAGTCTCAGCTCCACCACGCACTGGCTGTGTGACCTCGGGAAAGCTGTTTTGCCTTAGTGTTCCCATCTGCAAAGTCAAGATGATGTAGCTGCTTCTTCCTAGGGTGTTTGGGAGGATTGACTGAGTTAATGTATGTAAACTGCATGGAAATGCCTGGCAAAACCTAAGTGTTACATAAATGTTGGCTGTTTTTCTCAGCCGTGGTTGGAGGTCCTGGAGTGAGATTGGGAGACTGTAATATTTTTATTCTGTATGCCTCTACTGTGATTTAATAGCTTTTATGCCTTTAGATGAAGTCCTCTGTTGCAGTTAGGAACAAATGTGTTGTTGCTTCAGTATGAATATTAGAATTTAATTTATTTTGGAAGGAAAGGAAATAGATTCAAGGAAAAAAAATTCTCTCATAAACTTAGCGTATCGTTAATTTTTTTCCCTCAAAAATGCCAAAAGCCTGATTCCTCTTGATAAATATGCTACAGAGCTCTCCTAGGGCCCTGAGACCCCAGTTTGTAAAAACCTCTCATGTGGACCTTTATGTGGGCTCCCAGAAAATCATATTTGCTCCCAGAAAATCATTCCCATCTAAGCTGCTTTCCCATGGACTCAGACAGAAAAGTGAGTTTTTTTTTAAATTGTCACTGGGTACAGTAGCAAGCACACTGGATGCAGGCTCAGGAGACCTGGGTTCAAGTCCTTGCTGCTTCCTTAGTTCTTTCACTGATTTTCTAGGTGGCTTCTGGCAAATCACATGACATTGTTGAAGCCTGGTCTTTCTCTTCTGTAAATGGAACGGGTTTTGTACATAACAGCCTTGGAGGATGCTAGAGAATTAGGTTAAACACATAAATATGCAAGAAAGTGTAGCAGAAATGAAAAGCCCTCATAGGGGTATGCGTTCTTATTATTAGATGGAGTAACATAGACTTGCTGCTCTGAGTCCCCATCTGAAAGGGTTTTGTTTTTTCACTCTCCTGCATGTGCCTTCTGGAAGCCTGCAGTGTCCGATAGCTGGAGATGTATCACAATGAACAGATAATTGCAGTGTCCGGCTTTGTGTTTCCTCTTGGCTCTCGCAATGGACTAGCCTGTTATTTCCATCCAAGGGAAGCAGACCCATTATTTTTATTGGCTCTTCTTCTGTCACGTTCATTAATTATAAGTTCCGAGGGAAAACATCTCTATTTAGGCAAAGATCTACGTCTCCTATGACTAGCAAGGCCTTTTTAGGGCACCTACTGTGTGGTGTGTGCCCTAGGAAACAGGCTTGTAGCTATGGTAACTCAAAACTCCTCTGGGCCCACGGTGCGCATGAGGCAGCGGCAGGGCTGACTCTGTTGATTTCTCTCTTCTTTGCTGTGGTTCTAAATCCCCTGGGGACATTGGTGGGATTTACTGAGAGCTGATTCCCTTGGCTTTCGCTGCATCTTTTGTCCTTTTATAATATGAGATGTAAGACTAAAGAAGATCGTACACAGAGAATCGCATGTTTTAATACCCTTGTGCCAAGATGATCTATGGTGCGGAGCACAGCACCCTCACCTAGCGGGAAAGGGGATATGGTTATTTATTTGTCAAAAAACATTCATTGAATGAATGCCTTTTAGATGAGTGTGAACCCTTTTGTAACATCCACATCTGCAAAGCCTGTTTTCAGGTTCTTTTGCACCAACAGTAGAACATACACTTTGATTCTCACAGTGAAGAGGGAGCAGCTGTGGTGGTCTGTCTCCGTCTCTCTTGCCCAGTCCTCCTTGTGAACTGCAAGGATTTGCCAAAAGGCTGGAAGGGGTTGGGGTGAACCCCCCACTGCCGCCAGACCTGAACGGGGACCCAGTGTAACTTGATCAGCATGTGTTAAGTATTATAACAGCGTAACAGGCGTGTGCTAAGTGCTGGGAAAACAGAAATAAATGGGACCTGGCCTCTCTCTGGGCTTCCTGATTCATTGGGGAACACAGACGTGGAGTGAGTGGCTACAAAAGGGTTGTCTGGGGCGTCACAGAATGCGGTGGGGACACGCAGCCTTGGTCTGGCCTTCCAGGCCTACGCTCCACAGCCCTGCTCTTACACCTGCTGGTCCCCTGCCTTTCCACTTGGACAACTCTCCATCTGATCTTCCGAATTCAATTCAAAGGTCACCTTCCTGACATTGTGCCCACCCTGAACCTGTTTTCTCAGAACCCTGCATTAAATTGTTGGTTTGCTTGTCCAGATCACTGGTTTTTGACTACATACTATGTTTAGCACTGTACTTAGCACAAAATTAATCAGACCCCTGAGGACTGACTCACGTGATTCACACAAAGCAAACTCACAAGAATCTAATCTATTAACCAGAGAGTCGTTTTCCTCATTTCCTGGGGGAGGGGGGACACAAAGGGGAGAGCAGAGGAGAAGGCTGTACGTTTCCATGGTCCATTGTGGGCTCCCTTCCTGTCTGATGGGCACCTCGCTTCCACGGCAGGAGCACATGGGAGCCTTTTCCCAGCTGGACTGAGAGACCCTGAGGGCAAGGGCAGGGTCTTCTCGAGCAGTGAAAGATGAGAACAGGGATTCGACTTGAGGGTCACATCGATGTGGTGGTTAATTTTATGTCAGCATGGCTAGGCTAGGGCACCCAGCTGTTTGGTCAAATACCAGTCTAGATGTTGCTGGCGAGATATTTTTCAGAGGTGATTAACATTTGTATCAGTAGACTTGGAGAAAAGCAGATCACCCTCTGTAATGTGGGTGGGCCTCATCCAGCCATCTGAAGACTTTAGGAGAAAAGACTGAGGTCCCCAGAGGAGGAGGGAATCCGGCCTCCAGAACCGCCTTAGGACTCAGGCCTGACTCCCGTCAGAATTCCTAGCCAGCCAACCTTTCCTGCAGATTTCCAACTTGCCAGTCCCCAGAATCGTGTGAGCCAATTTCTTAAAATAAACCCCTCTGTATAAATACATCCTTTTGATTCTGTTTCTCTGGAAACCTGGACTCAAACACTTGGCCTTACATGAGGACTTATACTGGAACCACAAGAATTAGAACTCGGAAAATTGGGGACTTTTGACCAAAGCCATCAGATCTTAAGCTTTTAGACTTGAAAGCACTCTAGAAGGTTATCAAAATTACAGTTTCATTTCATGATTGAGAAAACTAAGGCTCAGAGAAGCCAAGTTTCCTAACCAAGGTCACCCGGTGGAGAAGTAATCATAATAGGCAGGATGGGGACCTGGTCTTGTCTCACTCTTTATATATCGAAAGGACAGCAGTGAAAAGGGAAATAATGTCTTTGCACTGTGCCTCGATTTTTATGATGGCATAAGTAATCAATATCCTTTCAGGATCCGATTTATGCGTAAAAGAGTCATTCGGGTTCCAATATGGAGAATAAAAATGTGGAGGGGAGGAATTGTACAATTGGACATTATAAATGGTTATTCTTTTCCATGTTGAAATTCACCCATCAGAAGCTGAATCATCCATGTTAAGTATTGTTCCGAACAAGTGATGAAATTTGGCAGCTTTGAGGAAGAGGCCGGAAAAATTGTTGTAATATTTTGGTTTATAAAATTCTTGTGGGAGGATCTGGGGAAGATGGCGGAGCAGGAAGCACCAGGAATGTCTCCCCACCCAGACAACAGTTGCACTGGCACGTCTGTCTGGTGTAACTATTTTGAAACTATGGAGTCTGCTGAAGGCTCACAACCTTCAGGCTTTGGCTCAGAAAGAGAACTTACACAAAAAATTGTTTTTCCCATTTTTTTTAATTGTAAAATATACATAACATAAAATCTGCCATTCTCATAATTTTAAGTATACAGTTCAGTGATATTAAATACATTCATAGTATTGTGCAATCATCAGCACCATTCATCTCCATAACTCTTGCCATCTTGTAAAACCGAAACCTATACCCGTTAAACACCAGCTCCCCGTTTCTCCCCGGGCCCAGGCCAACCACCATCTACTTTCTGTCTCTATGAATTTGACTCCTCTAGGTACTTCCTATGCGTGAAATCATACAGCATTAGCTTTTTGTGACTGGCTTATTTCACTTAGCATCATGTCCTCAAGTTCCATCCATGTTGTAGCATATGTTAGAATTTCCTTCCCTGGTGCAAAGGAATATATGCTTTCTGCTTCCTGTATTCTGCTTTATATAGTAATTTCTTATAAGTTTAGGTATGAGCTTGATAAATGTGAAGCAGATGACTCAGTCCCTAAGAACCTGATCGGTTTTGTTTGCACTCGAAAAGGTCTCTTTCTTCATCTGTTCATTCATTTGACAGACATTGACTGAGCACCTATGCTAGGACCAGACCCTGTGTAGTGCTCACAGTACAAAAAGGAATAACTTGGTCTCTGCCCTGAAGAAAAGGGGGCCCTGCATTAAGTAAGGAGGTGAACTGGAAAACCTTTAAAGCTCCTTTTATGATAATAGGTTGTGTAATTTTATAAAAATCATAACTTCTTGGTGCTGGCAAACTCCGCCCTCTCTGGGGCTGGACCCAGCCTTCACCTCCCTCGCCCAGCAGCCCACAATTCCTGACTTGCCTCTGTTGGGGCAGATGACGAGGGAGCTGGGGTCCAGTGGTCCCAAAGAGAATTCATTTTGTCACTGATACAATGGGGAAAGCAGAAATTAATACAGTGAATATCGCTTTTCAACCAAGTTTGCTAGAACATCGGGAAACCCTGAGTTTTGAAACGAAAGTATCAACGGTCGTTAAAGTGAGCATAAAGTAAGGTAGGACTTCGTTTTGGTGTTGGGGTTCTCCTGTATCTCAGACCCTTTCACTAGTTCTCTAGAGAGCTGTCTGGATGGCGTCACTTCCCTGAACACTTTTTATTTCATTTTCAGCAGGCGCACACCTGTCCACCACGGCGTGGCTCCCAGGAGAGCACTGGGCTTGCTGGCGGACAGGGGGAGACTGGCCCTGTGCCTGGCCGCTGGCAGGAGGAAGGCTGTGGAATCAACAGGCCTCAGTTTCCAGCCTGGTTCTGCTCCATTTACGTGTGAGTAACTTCAACCATGTTAGTCCATATTCCTGACCCTCCATTTCAACATCTGCAAAATGAAAGAAGCCACTCTCCTCCCAAAAAGGTAAAGGAAGGACCAAAAGCCTATGGTGGGTCTTTTCCCAATGGTACCTTGATTTTAAATTGGGGACCCCTCACTCTTTGCCATGTGACATCCAATACCGCCCCCCACCCCACTCTAGTCACAGGAATATGTCTACTTCATCAGAGCTGATGGGAGACAGAGAAACATGGGTGGGGGGTTCTGGAAGGAAAAGTTTCTCTCCTCCATGTGGTCTTGAACAAGGAAACACGTGAGCCCAGGAGCAGCTGACAGCCCTTCAGACCGTAAGGGAAGAGCCTGCCTGGGAGTGGAGCCAGTCCTCACGCCTCACCTGGAGCCAGAGCTGCCCTGGACCATTCGTCTAAGGGAGACAATAGACCTGCTTTGTTAGTTCAGACAGCTCGAGATGAGTTTTCTGTTTCTTGCAACATCATTAAGTCCTAATTGATCATAGCAGGTTGAATGGTGGTCCTGCAAATGATAGGTCCACAGCTAAACCCCTGGAATCTGTGAATGTGACCTTATTTGGGAAAAGGGTCTTTGCAGATGTAATTGAGTTAAAGGGTTATCCAGGCAGGTCTTAAATCCAGTGACGTGTGTCCTTATAAGAGACACACAGAGGAGAGACACAGAAAGATGGATACAGAGATTGGAGTTGTGCAGCCAGGGTGCACCCGGAGCTGCCAGAAGCCGAAGAGGCAAGTCTCCCCAGAGAGAGCACAGCCCTGCCAGCACCCTGATTTTGGACTCTGGCCTCCAGAACCACAGGAGAATAAATATCAGTTGTTTTAAACACCAAGTCTATGGTCATTTGTTATAGCAACTGCAGGAAACAAGTACACTGATCAATGTGCATTTAGAAATATTAACGTCCTTTTCTTTCATACATTTAACTTCTTTCCATGCCTTTCCCATTCCCCCTTCCTTAAAGGGGTTGAGATAGTCCAGGCTTGAGCCAGGCTGCCTCAGTTACATACCAACTAGGTCACTTCCTTGCTGTGTGACTTTCAGCAAATTACTTACCTCTCTGTGCCGCAGTTTCCTCTTCCATATAACGTTTCTACTAGGACTAAATGAGTGACTACATGTAAGTGCCTGGCATGCAGGAAGCAGTGCACGTAAGTGGTGGTTATGATGTTTTCTCCCCTGCTCTAGGGTAATTTCCTTCCCTCATCAGAATGCTAATTTTTCATGGTAATGAGCCCAGTTTTGTTCCTTGCCTAGATTTTTAAAATTATTATTTCTTGTGATTCATTCACCTCATTATGCTTCTAGGCCATCAAAATAAGGAAAATGTCATTCAGAAAAGTATAAACTAACCAAACCCAATGGGATCTTACTAAGTAGCCATAGTTAATGATTAGAAGATTCAAAAGTCCACACCATTAGTGAAACAGAAAGACGAAGAGCCTGATTTAACTAATAAGCTGTTCAGCACCATGACTTCTAATTGGCTCTGCCTCTCCAGATTTCCCTTTGAAATGCTTATTTCACAGGGTATAAATAATTTAATTGATTTTCAGAATAACTGACTTGTTTTCGGCATGTACTTGTACGTTTGTTTGGTTTGTGGTGGGGGCAGATGATGGGAGAAGGAAGGGTTGCTAGGTTTAAGGAGCCTTCTGACTACCCTATTTTCCAAATTTTAAAGTCAGCATTTGTTTCCAAAGCAATCATTGTCTGTCTTTCTTCAAGGGAATTTAAAAGTAGGCCTTATCTTAAAAATCACTTAGCTCAGAACGGCACAGCGGCTTTCATGATTGTTCTTCCTCCAGACACTGGCAATTTCAGAAAGTGTTTCATTTCCTAGGACCACTGGACTTCCAAGCTCTCCTCCCACGCTGCATTAGCAGCGGAGTGTCCCTAATTCTCTGCCCATCTACTGGGCCTGCTCGTCTTAAGATTGGACTATGTTCTTTTCCTTTCACTGTCTTTCCTTCATATAAATGAGAAAGGAGAGAAGGACAAAAAGGGCTGCTTCCCAAGCCAATTCCTTTACCATATATGCAAAACCAAGAGCCTTCAATGGTACACCTCGGCACGGCCGGAAGCCTTGATTTAGACAACATCAGACTTCCTAAAAGAGGGAGGCTTATCTGTGGCTCTCCCCGAAGACCTTCATGGGCAATTACTGAAGCAAGTGAGAAAAAAAAGATTGCTACTGTGTCATACAAAAACAAAACCGAAACCCAACTGGTGCCATTGTACCAAAGCTGTGTTTGAAAATGAAGACCTAACTTGGTGCACTGTGATACGACACCTGGAGGCTGGTTTTCAGTATAACCGGTGAATTACTCGTTTTGAAAAAGGCCTTTTAATGGCTCTGTGACGTTGGTAAATTCTGACTTCTGACCTTGACCTGGCTGGCCGCGACTGGGTACGCTGCCACGGTGCAGCAGTGAAGCTTTGGGATGACACCTTGTCCTATTCTCACCGGAAACCTCAGAGCCAGAGGCCAGCCATACCTTCACCTGGATTGAGAAGCATCCTCATGGTGGAGTTAAATGGTGCGAGAGCGTGAGGGAAAGAGGGAGGATGCAAATGAGGATGTGAAGAAGAGGAAACCAAAGATCCCACGTTAGGGAGAAAGAAGTACAGGCCTGTAACAGTCCCAGTGTCATCCCTCAGCCTGTGCGCGTGGTTTGGGTGACGTTAAAGAGGCAGGAGGCATGCAGGACAGTCAGATAACATTTTCCTAAAATAATATAATTCTGAAAACAGGTGGATTGCAGTGAGCAGGGTCAAAACTCCTGCTTAAATTCTTTTCTCACTATTCTTGCCTTTTCCTTGGACTGGTGGTGTGGTGTCTTGGAACAGGATGTGGTCACCATTTCTGGAAAGGCTGAGGTCAAAAGTGAACATAAATGATTTCTGATCTCTTACTTTCTGCCTCTCCCTGGCCTGCAGACTGTCCGGTGGTGTGGGGAGATGGGAGATGGGTGGGGTCGGTGCAGCTTGTGTTTGGCTGCACATAGTAGAAACCTAACCACGGTGACTTTGCCAAAAGGGAGTTATTTTTCTTATATACCAACTCTGGAAGTAGTCAGTCTATGATTGTCATTTAGGCTTCCTATTTATTTGACTATCTTTATCATGAGCTTCTCTCCACGTGGTCATAAGATGGCTGCTGAACCTCCAAGCATTGCATTCAAGTTCCAAGCAGGATAGTTAAGGGCAAAAGGTAAAAGAAAGATGTAGCTGATTTTATCCCTTTTCCACAAGCTTTTATGCCATTGTCCATAGCTAATGCCATCGCCATCCCAAGGTGCAAGGTAGATGCTACCCCGAATAAGCCTGGGGTCATTAACAGGGAAAAGAGATTAGAATGTGAACAGGCAATTAGCAGTGCTTCTTACACAGAGTCCTTAACCTGGGCTCCATGGACCGTCAGAGAGCTACGGGGAGTATCCATGGAAACATTTGCACAGATCTGTTTATGTGCGTTTTTCTGTAAATTCTCAGCTTTTCTCTCTTCAGATAGTTCCTGTCTTCTATTCTCTTCCATCTTCTCTTCTTGGGCCCCAAGCAGACAAACATTAGACTATCCCACTATCAGGTTATTCTCTGACATTTTCCATCTCGTTGTCTCTCTGCGTTGTATACTGTGTGATAGCCTCACATCCAATTTACTCGTTTTCTCTTCAAATTGTCTATAACCTCCTGCTTAACCTGTCCATAATTTTTTTAATTTTTAAAAGTTCTAGTTAGTTCTTTTTTTTTTAATTTGCTGGCTCACTTTTCAATAGTCTCTTGCTCATCTTTATTCTGTCTCTTTTCTAAAATTTTATATAAGGTTATTTTACATATTCCAGTATCTGAATAGGTTTGAGTCCCAGCCCTGCCACTTATTAGTTATATAACCTTGATCAAAGCATTTAATCTTTCTGAATCTCACTATCACAACCCTAATGTGGGAACAATAATAGTCCCTATCTCATGAATTATTATGAGAATTAATGAATCCATGTAAACATAGAATTTAGAACAATGCCTGGCACATAGTAAGCACTATATAAACTTGTACAGGTTTTATTATACTTTACTTAGTTATTTCGTTCATTGCCTGCCTCAGCCTCCTGGAGTGAAAGTCTTGGGAATCTTGTTTGTTTTGTATTGTTACATCCCCCTTACCTACAGTAGTGCTTGGTACAAAGCAAGCACTCAGTGATGCGTTGAGCACATGAGTGAATGTGAAGAACATTGCATTCAAGTTAAGGATTATGCCCCGATTAGGGAATATGCATTCTTTCAACCACATATGGAACAGCCTCAAGAATTAACTACATACAAGATCGAAAGTTAGTCTCAACCAATTACAGTGAGTCGGTGTTATACAGACCAGATTCTCTGTCCACCAGTCAGATGAGTTAAAAATGAATAAGCAAGAGATCAATTTTAAAAACATGTACTTGCGACTTTTTTAAACACCTCTCTCAGTGGCCCATGGGTCAAAGAAGAAATCATAATGGATACTGCAGTTATTTAGAATTGAATGCCAAGGGGCATGCTTCATATTAAAACTTAGGAGATTCCGTAGAAGCCATACTTCAGGGGAATTGTTTGGGTGTAAACGTTTATATTAGAAGGGTGGGAAGGCTAAAAGTAATGAGATAAACATCCAACCCAGTCAACTCAAGGACAGGAAAAAGAAGCGGATGACAGGGGGAGAAAATCGGTAATTAAACCGGGGACCTGAGCGCATAGGCCAGGGTCACCCGTCAGAGGCCACTGGTCTGATACCTGTGATGGGCGCCCTGGACACCCTCTGTCTGGCTGCAGGCTGCTGCCCTGGGGGCCTGGGGCTTCTGAGAAGAACAAGCAGACCAGGCCACACCGAGTCCTTGCCAAGCTGCCCGGGTGCTCCTGCCCACCAGGGGCCGCCCACGTTGCTCCTGCTTTCTTTCCCACCTGCCTCCCACTGAGAGGCAAACGCTTCTCATTGGAACCCCGTTCAGCGGTGAACCACGCATGTCCCCTTCCTCATTCACCTCCCTGCACATTCTCTCCTCTCCTGAGGTCACACCCCCAACCCCGCAGCCTCCTAGGAATCCCATTTCTCAGTCCCCAGCCCCGGCAGACGTAGGGGTCTGGGGATGGGTTTGCGTCCTCCTGCATCACTGCCCACAGCCAGTTGAGCCCGCCCCTCCGTTCACCTCCCACAGGTCTCCTCCCCTTCCCCTTCCTCTCCAGCCCTGCGTCTCTGTCCTACTTCAGACCTGATCGCGTCTTTATCTTGTCCTGATTATTTTAAAAGCCTCCTCGTGGCTTCTGAGCCTTCATCCTGGCCCTTCCTTTCCATTCTCCACACAGCGGGCCACTCCCAGTGCAATCTTTCTGGAAGCAGAAATCCTGTGGCCTCCTTCACTCTGGCTCATGTGTCCTGGGAGGGCTCCATTAGCTCCCCAGGCCGTCAGGGGCTCCCTCCCTCCTCCTGGAGCACCCAGAGCAAACCTCGGCCCTATGACCTGTCACGTCCCTGGCATGTCTACTGACCTTGCTGAGGGGGACCGTGCGGGTGGCATTGGCTGTTCAAAGTGCAGTCTGTGACCGGCAGCTGGGGCATCACACTGGGGGCTCCTTAGGAATGCACAATCTCCCTGTCCTCACCCAGACCTACAGTCTTAATTTGAACTTTTAAAAGACCCCAGGTGATACATTTTCACCTTAAAATTTGAGAAGCTCTGATGACCGATGAGAAGCTTCTGCCAGGCGAGAGGGCAATAGAATCTGAAGTTCAAGTTGGCCTCTCCCTCGCCTTTCTTTTGGGGAGCTGGGCGTAGGGGCGAGGGGGTGG